CTCGTATGTTAGAAACAACCGTGTGTATAATTTTATATATGCTTAGCAGGCAGCAGTAAAAACAGACTTATGGATGGAGCTACTTATTTAGCAACCAGATTTGAATAACTGGAACTCACTTGAAATTATAACTAAATTTGGTGATATTATCTAGCCAGTGTAATGTTTGTATAAATAGTGACTACACACTTTTATATGCAAAGTTTAACTTCTTGTTTTCAGTCACCCAACAAGCATTCCTATTAATTGAGAAGAAGAATTTAAAAAGTCAAATCTGTTTTGATTTTTAAATTACTTATACTTTTGGTCCAAAAATATGATTTTTTTTGTTATTTCCTAAAATTCTAATAATCTATTAAAAATCCTCCATTACACAAGTTAGCATGAACTGCAATGATGCAAATTATCAATAACTTAGTTAGCCTGACAATAAAAAGTGTGATATACAAATATATTATGAGTTTCTATCTTCTTATGATATTATAGTATTTATCTAGGATTTATCATTTATTCTATATGAATGCACAGGTTTCACATAACACATGATCAAGAAAGATGTTAAGTTGATTTCATTATAGCTGTCTATGTTCCTTTGTTATATTTTCTATGTGATAATACCTGTTATGCCCATGGGAAGTTTGCTATAATACTACAGTTGTAGAAGGATGTCAGCAACAATATAATCAATAGATAGTTTAGGTGATATCTTAAGACTACACCTCACCTATGTTTTAATTAGAAAGACCAGTCATTTTGGAAGTACATTTCTTGCAAAGTAAGAAACACTGGTTATAGTCAGTCTTGTATATGCATTCATTCTGATTTGTTAAAGCTCTAGTGAAAGTGATCATTCAATATCAGTAAAGCAAGTACACATACTGTGCTTGTGTTAAACGTGATATTAATACAGATTGTTCATTTCTTGTTTAATTTTATATCCAGTCTCTTTACTTCAGTTATTCTCATGGCATAGTTATTCAGAAATTTAAAATCACTTCATAATAAATATCCTGACTGAACCTTCTGTTATCCTATAGGCCTATTCCACTGCTATACCTGTGTAGAATTCTAATAACAATTAACATAATATAATCCCATCCATCTAAAGTATTTTAGACAAATAGTTTAATACATTTGTCCACACTCTTTGAAATGTAACTATACATCTGAAATTCTAACACCAACAAGTACTAGATTGTAGGCTCCAAGGCTGTGATCATGTTGATTATAAATCAATAGATAAAGATTTTAGCATGTTGGACTTCATGATTAACATAACGAACATCTCAAAGATTTAGAAAAGTTTATTTCCCATGAATTGATCAGCAATATCGTAGTGCTTTAACCTTTCACTAAGTTGCCTCAATATGTTTTATTGCTGTTTTAATATTCATTTTATAGGGTTCATCTATGATTGGTTAATATATATATATATTATGTACTGTTGTAGACTGTATTCTAAAAATTTACTTGGGTGTTTGTTAGAGAAAGCTCATCATTATGATGAAATTATGAGCTAAAAAGTTCATGAAAGATAAGAATTAATAAGGTTTGAATAATATGTAGAAACAAGGGTATGATATGAATATGAGTAATCAGTAATAATTAAGTCAGTTTGGTGCAGTCAGTTAAAGAAAACTAAGTAGTGAGTTACTGAACTTTAATTGACTGAGTCAGTTATGTGTCTATCATGCTATTCAGTTACTCGGTAAGTTACTTTTTTATTTATAGATCTAAGCTAAATAAGTTAGACCTACATTAGTTTCAGAGATTCTGTTGAAACATTGTATTTAGAATTATGCCTACAAATGAAGATGGCTGTAGCAAACATTATCATTATATAAACTTTACTAGACACTTTTTAAACAAATAAATGAAAGAAAACTGCCTACAACAATATAAAATCTTTCTGGCATGTAAGCAGACTTGTATGTAACCACAGAACAGTGTAATCCTTTCAGTTTATACATGCACACATCACATAAAAATTTACAGGCAGAAATAAAGTTGTATGTTTAAATAATAATTCTTTAATTAGCATAACCAACATGCCCTTAAATAAACAGTATTCTGGTGGAACATCCACGATTAACTACAACTGACATGTATGACTGAAAAATATTTTTAATCATAGAAGAAAAATAATTCATACATGTGTAAAAATAATATTAAGTATTATAGTAGTGTTGTTCCTACATTTTACAGTTTAAAGGACCCGTGACCTATGCATTAAAATTAAGGAGACACAGTAGAAATTTTGGGGGATGCCCTTAAGACATTACATTTTCTTTAACTGAAAATGTATTTCTGAAAGCTATCTTATTCATGCATCTGTTTAGAGATTTCCATTCCACTAGCCTTTAGGCAGTTACCACTTAATTTCACAAGCTTTCTTGTGATTTGTGTGACTGCATAATGACATTGTTATGCAGCAAAAGCCCTCCACCAACAGGAGGGTGACACAACCTCCTTGTGCACTAGCTCCCTCTATGCTTTTGCACTTGTGGTCTTCATTCTTTGATGAGGCAAGGAATACTAAGTAGCAATGGAAGTTGGAAGAAAAAGTTAAAAGTGTGTGTAGATGTGAATATCTATCAAAAAATACATCTTCAGTTAAGGAAAAGAGTAACTTCCAAGG